GCCACTTCAAACCCCAACTGAATGGAGGCAGGAATGCACAAATGGCAATGTTGTGGCCTCAATGTAATGGTATAAGCAACAACAAGTGCCCGTCGACATGGGTTGAAAGGGAAGGAATTGGTTTCTCACTGGAGAAAATTTGGCTTCAGCAATGGCAAGGGGAGCAAGGGAGAGTATCAGGTGGATTTGTGTCAAATTAAAGTTGTGCTTCTGTCATTTTGGTAAAAAAACAAATTTAGCTAGTAGGAAGACCTGATAAGACAAATCATCAAATGGGTAAATATGGTAGTGGAGTGGTAGCTAGGGATGGAAGAGGAGAAATGATGTGTCCCGCAAACGCTATAATTTGTTGGAATTTCTGAAACAGTTTTGATAGCAAGGCATCAATGATAAAGCCACTCTTGTTCTTTCCTTGTTTTTTGTTTTGTTCAATCTTTGGTTCTCATTTGCTGGCCATATATACACAGTAGTTTTAGAGGATACATGTATATGTTTGTGTCTTCAAGCTTTGTAAGTTCATTCACTCACTTACTAATTTAGTTGAAAAATAATTATTCATAAAAATTGTTTAAGTAAGAGACTTACATAAGCTTTACATAATATCTTAATTATTACAAAAGACTTAAGTAACACGTTTGTTTGATTGATACATAAAAAATAACCATTTATTCAACCTTCATAAGTTTTACAGAGTGAATTTTAATATTTTTTGACAAATTGGGGCACTTCCATTCCAAATTGAAACAGTGGAAGTACAGTTGATTACAACAAAGGAGACAACAGATCGGAAATAATGATCCAATCTCGTGGGAGGGCACCTAATCTAGCATTACGAGCAACCCAGTCGGCTAACAGATTGTGACGTCTAGGAACAAACATCACTTTTACCCACGGAGCCGAGACGAGAATGGTCGAGACACGAGCAAGTAAAGCCCGACATTGCCAAGGCCACTGGTCCGGAACAAGCTTCAGAGCATTCACCAAAATCTGACAATCAGATTTGACACAAGCTGAGCGTTGTTCTCGAGCCGCCAATGTCACTCCATTGAGAATAGCATAAGCTTCCGCCTGCATCGAATTGGAACAAAAGAATCTCTCAACCTTGCCATCATACACCTGACCGTGGGAATTAGCAACTGTAATCCCACAAGCTGCCATCTGTGATTCAGAAACAAACGAACCATCACAGTGCACAATCCTATGAAATGTGTGGTCTAATAATAACATCAAGTAATATCTCAAATTTTGTTTAATAATAAGTTAATTAAGTTAAAAAAAAGTATAACTTTTGATTAAATTTTAATGTGAAAATGGGTTTATAAAACATTTGTGCAATGCAAATTTATGAGATCATCAACAATTTAGTTATTAAGTTAGTCATTTTTATTCAAACTTAAATCATGCATGAAAGACTTATTCGATTTGTTTGTTTAATTGATGCATAAGAAATTATTATCTCTCCATTAAGTTGTGTATTGTCTTAGTCATTAAGAGTTATGTTGTATTTTTTGTTTAATTGATAACTAAAAATAACTACCCTTCAGTAAGATTTACGTAATAATGTATTTATTTATGTAATTGTAACAACTGTAATGTGATATAATAATAAAATCAAGTTATGAAAATTACCACATTTAATTAAACTGCAATGAAAATGTTAACTTACCTTACAAAACTTTTGCATAACGTAAATTAAGAAGATGATGAACATTATAGATAGTTACATATAATGTTTACGTAATATATTCATAATAAATTAATCTTATGTATTGTGAAATGAAAAAATACTGAGATAGTTATCTAAAGATTAAATATCCATTATAATGAAACTAGCTAGGTACAAGAGATGCATGACAAAAAATTACATAAACAACTAACAGTAGGGGTGGGCATTGGGTGGGTCGGGTGGATTTTGACCATAAAATGCACCCACCCGCGCTTAAATGGATTGATAATTTTTAACCCACCACCCACCCACATTTAGTCTCGGGTTGGGTCGGGCGGATGGTGGATGATGCGGGTGGGTTTGTGGGTTCACCCACATCATAATGTATATAATATAAAGGAGTCAACTTGACATGATAATACGTGAATAGAATCATCGAGGGAAATAAGAAGTTGAAATATGGCAAAAAATGTCGAATTAGTTCTTAAATTGGATAGAAATTCTATTATGAGAGAGTTTTCTATAGATTGAGACGATTATTAGGTGCAAGGAACTAAGAAAAATAATTCCACAAAGGAAAGAGCGGTGATCTAGGCACAAGAATTAGAGGAAAAAGTAAAGGGAAGAAGAGGGGATCTCTATTTGGAAGGTTGGCTTTGAGGTTCAAACTTAAGGAGCAGTCCGAGTTTATATCTAACTTCTCCACTCTCCTCTCTCTAGCGCCAACGACTTTGATCTTTTTGCTGTTGGGTTGAGCGGGTCACCCGCACACTCACCCACAACCCACCCACCACCTGGCGGATGGCTCCCAGCGCAACCCGTCACCCACCCACAGATCCACCTACTTAACGAAATTCGGGTCAAATGCGGGTGGGTCGGCCCAAACCCACGAATGATCCGCCGGTATGCCCAGCCCTAACTAACAGTAATTCGACTTGACTCGACCTGATCCAATCAGTTTTGAGGTTCGGCAATTGAATCCCTTCGTGGCTCAACTTCAATTCATCTATAGAATCTTGAGGTACACACCCAAAAGGGCCACCATTATAGAAATTGATGTACGTACGTACAAAACTCCAACCAAAATTTTTCTTACACTTGTGTGGGCTTTCAATTTCAATATCTAGATTGGGCAGGAACTGTAGACGTACCAGGAGGTCAATAATAGACTTTTGCTGCATATCGTGTAGACATATATGCTAACTTTGATTTCTCAGACATCAAGAGAACAAAATACTGCATCAAGATCATTACTACAAACTGAACAATGACTATGTACAACCGTTTAAAACGATTTTACGCTTCACCAAAACACTTCTACTTAGAAACGCACTCTTTTGACTACATTGCTAAAGAGTTTCTTGAAGTTAGTATATTATTATCGTCTGACCTTCTCAATCATACATACAAATGAGACTCCAAAGTCTTTATCTTTTAGGGTTTATGTGTATCAGTCATGAGTTCTTGGAAAAGTTCACTGACAACAACCAATTTGTTTTTCACATAAACTTGACTATCTCAGCTCAGCGTCTGTCTTCCCTTTAAGCAAAAGCAAAAGGCAGCAAAGCAAATCAAACACACAATCAAGCTGTGTCGTCGTCTCTGTTCTTATTAGCTTTCTTCTCCTATTTCTATTTGCACATTTGGTTCAACTCTATTCATCAAATCAAAGAGCCCATGCATGACGTCCTAAAAAGGCCCTTCAATTATTGGGAAAAAAAATGCACGTTATATATTCACCGCAAAAGCCCAAAAGGGTCTGCAAATTCTTCGGTCAACAGATTAAAGATCCTCCTCCGGCCCAGCTCTTTTTCTCCCGGCAATCTAATTGGCCATATGGCTGGCTTGTTCATCAGAATCTCTACCTCTCTCGATTGTGGAGGGAAAAAGCAGTGCTGGATAGCAGTTCATCAACTTTAGAGCATGAGCTTTCTTGCTTTCTTTCTTTAGCTTCCTTTCTAGATGGAGAAATTACGACTCCTTTTTCTCATTCAACCAATAAATTAAATTAGCGTCACTGAAAAGTTTGCGAAGAGAAATGGACGATAGACATTCTTACGGCAAACGCAATGCATGATTTAGACGTTCAACATGCATCCGTGCGGGAGAACTATGCCGTAATAAGGAGAGGGTCATATAATTATGATTGGAAAGATTTCAATCAATTTGATGACTTAAGAAGAAACGACATTCAACGATGACATAGCCAAGATCCGATCTATGTAGGTTCTCTCCTTACCACGAAAGTTTATTGGACACTGAACAGAAGATATTTTGATGACAATACAAACACATTAAGTCATTAATATATCACATCAAATGATCATTCAGTTACTTGTACTTATTTTACTTATTTGATAACCCAAATTATAATTTTTTATGTCATTAAGAAAAAGAAAAAAAAAGGCTCTTTTGATCGACAAACTGTAATGTACGTAAGAGTTGGCCCTAAAATTCAATACTAATTTAACTATGACTGACTCGTAACCTAAGAAATACGAATCGAACTAATACGCAAACTGATTGAATTCAGTTCGAGGCCACTCATAAGGGCTTGAAGTTTGCACATGCCTGAAGACGAAAATAACATGTGCTTAACAAATGGGGGTCACCGGGAATCGAACACAAAACCTCACGATCACAAAAGGCTCTAAAACCATGTCCAAAGCCAGTTGCTCTCAATAACTCGAGTTGTTAGGAGAGGTTCAATCGTGGATCATATATGATATACCACAACACTAACAATGAACGTAGTAGCAGAGGTATGTCGGGCATGTGATCCTGGGGGATCGGTTAGCATGCTAACCCTTGTATGGGTTGGCAAAATGACAACCCCTATTAATTATAGGTTTTTAAGGTAATTAATTTGTGTTGTATTTAATAATCTGTATGAATTAAAAACACATATTAATTACTTTCCTTTTTCAGTGCACTGGTAGTTGTATCAGTGCACTGGTATACTGAACTCATATTAATTACGTTCCTTTTTTGGAACTACCATTGCAGTGATACATCTACCATTGCACCTGTACACAACTACCAGTGCACTGATACAACTACCAGTGCACTGAAAAAAGGAAAATAATTAATGTGTTTTTAATTCATACAGATTATTAAATGCAACACAAATTAATTACCTTAAAAACCTATAATTAATTGGAGTTGTCATTTTGCCAACCCTTTTATGGGTGGGCATGCTATCTCATCCCTGATCCTGATCCTGGCCCCTGGAGTTGTGAACTAGAAACACACCACTACCAGAAGAAGACAAAGATTAGGCCGGCCCATCCATAAAGAATATGGGCTCACTTGCGAAATGGTTTCTGGACAAATTACGGAAGCCCATTGTGTGTTACATCAAAATCAAATACACAGAAGCGGATTTTTCCGGCCAGACAAAGGGGATTATCAATGGAGACGCTGATCCTCCTCCACCCTTCACCGAAACTCCCACCGCCGCCGCTGCTGCGGCCAAATCTCTTCCACTCTCCGACGACAACTACGATTCCTTCCATCGCCTGCTTCCAATTCCCCCAATCCACTCTTCTCCGCCGCGGCACCAAGTCTACCCGCCGGATAGCGCCCTCAGCGTCGTTCAGAAACGGAAGCGATGCTCCAGAAACAGGGTGCCCTGTCCCCGCCGATCAGCAACCCATAAACGAGTACCAGAGCCTCTCCACCTCCTTCCCTTTCTCTTGGGCCTCCGGCGACATCGTGGAGTACTGCTCCCGCCTTTTCGTCACCGGCGCGTCTTTCGCTCTGTTCGTGGGCCTGCCCGTCTCCTGGTTTGGCTCCGTCGGCCCGCAATTGGACCCCTTGAAACCGATCTTTGCTGCCCTCTCCAGCGGGATTCTGGTGGTTAGCCTCGCGGTCTTGAGGATGTATTTGGGTTGGGCGTATGTTGGGAACCGTCTGCTCAGTGCCACTGTCGAGTGTAATTAATTAATTATGCCCTCTCTGTTTCCAATTTGTTGATAGTTGTTGCTGGTTTTCTGTTCCTTCTGGGAAAGATCAATCTTTTCATATAACCTTGATTTGATTCTATTGCAGATGAAGAAACCGGGTGGTATGATGGTCAGGTATGTGTATATATATATATTGAAAATTTTACCTTCCTGATTTCAGTCATACTAATACTATTGTCAAACCCTAGTCTAGTCTCAGTGAATGTCAGGAGTTTTTAGTGAACTTGAGTATGATACTCCAAATTTACAAGGAAATGCCGTAGACGTAATTGATTCTGATAGTATGAGAAGGATCCGGCATAGGAAGCTTGAGGAATTGAAGATGGCTGTAAAGCAGGAGGATTTTGCGGTGTAGTGTTTGAATAGATGTGATTAGTTATCAATCTACCAATTTGGAGACTCTTACTAGTGCAATTTGGCTCAACAGATATGGGTGAAGACTGCAGAAGTTCTTACTAGAGACAGGCTTCTTGGCTCCATTACTGTAAGTCTTAAAATGGATGATCATCACTTTCATGGAAGGCAATTGGGAGATGAGCTGACTGTTTTCCCCCACCTTGTTTCTTTCTTTCTCTCGCACAGGTGAAGCCTGTTCTAAGCAGACTAAAGAACACGCTTGTAACTCTAGCGGTGATGCTGTTTGTTTGTGTTCTGCTCTTCATCAACTTGGAGAGGGAGGCAAATACGTACAGATTGGAAGAAGGTCGCGATAGATCTGTACCTGGAGTTTACAACGACGACTCGGCGAGATCGTTTGAGCCGGATGCTTTCTGTGGTGAACCTAGTAGTGATGTTCCTTCGTCGTGAATCATATTGAATGAAATTTGTCAAGAATGTGTGTTGTGCATATATTGCTATCGATGTAGTAAGTTGTATATCCGAATTCAATGTAGTGCAGAGGTTGAAAGCTACGGAATCTCTCAGGTGGTCATTGTTTAAAGGAAAAAGATTCTTAGTTTACGGGATATGGTTCGCAAGGAAAAGCCAAACATTAGAGAGCTTCCATTTTCATACCAGACGAGACAATGGTCGATGCCATTTTAAAAGTAAGGAAAGCAAATTCTAACAGAGGAGAAGAATTCAATCAGAGAAAATTATTTTCTGTTTCTAATGGGTTTCCAAGTTCCAATTGGAAAAGGAAGGGGAAAAAATTAAAAAGCCTGATCCACATCATCGCCATTATCATTCCTTTGCTGTCGGTTCAATTATAGACAGAGAGAAAACCCTCGACGGACGATGGAGTTAAGCTCCAACGTGAGGAGAGGAAGATGAGTAGGTTGGGGAATCTGCGCCAGGAACTGACCCAATGTTCCGCCGTGGTAGTAGGTTGGGGAATCGAAAGGAAGAAGAGCATATGGATAGTGAAGTATTGTACTGTCGGATGAGCTCCGACCTTCTCCAAGAGAAGCCGCCGCCGACGTTGGCCGACATCGCCACCAACACCTTGCTCATCGTCGGCATAAAGTTTTGTAATGAACCAAATGGTCCCAAATTTTAAGACAACTATTAATATTGGGGTCGTAAAGCACGTGACCTCAAAGACAAACCATCTTTAATATCATGTCATAAACTAACTGGTCCTAATAATTCGAGTTATTGGGACCAGTTGGTTTATGACAAGTTTCCCTTGTTTGTATGATTCTCTTGTCCCATCCCTATTTTAAGTGGTTATAGCTACTCAAGAGTCGGCCCATGTTGAATAAAAGCCCGATAACTACGTGGCAGAATATTTTAGTGTTTATGAAAATTAAACTGCAAACAAGTTTCAGTCCTGAGTTTTGATTAAGTTCGGCTCGAGTTCGATTGCAATGCTTGAGCTCGAGCACGGCTCAAACTTGATATGAGTTATAATAATAAAAGCTCGAGCTCGACTGGACATAACATCTTCAAGTTCGAGCTCGATTTGAGTTTGAAAATAGCCCGTGAACAATACTAATAGACTCAACTCGTAAATAAACCTCGAGCTCGACTCGAATTTCCTTCCAGCAAAATATAACCTTGTAAATCCTAAAATCTCTTTACAAATTACAATCATCCATAACCTGATTACCTGTGTCTTCAAAATAAAATTTTCTGTTTTAAATCAAGTTACAATCATGAAAATTGGAGCAAAACTACATTACATCAGTTACCCTGTATGTCTTCAAAAGTTCACATTTCCACGTTGTAAATCCTTTATAAAAAAGAACTTCATAGCTCCAACAAAGGGACAAAGAAAAATATATCATCTTCCTATCTGATCATTCACATTTGTTAATTGAAACTTTATTCTTCCTAATTCAATCAATACTTTATTATTCTATAAAGATTTAGACATAGAACAAGAAAAAAGATACCTTACCCTAGTGTCAACAACATAGATGATTCGATTGTCCTTTAGATACCGCTATTTCTGAACTCTATTTAGAGGAGTTTCCCAATATACATTATCTCCTCGATTCACCGCAATACGATCCATTCCCTATTAGCTTTCTTTTCTACATTGTACCTTGATAGTGTGCAATGTCGATCGTAATTAGCGTCGATGAAATGGTAGAGTCTGGGGACTCTCTCTGTGTTTCTTAATGAAGATCAAACCCATGACCTACTTTCCGAGCTTCATGTTTCGATTTTTGAGTTTAAAGAGCTTAAAAGAGAAAAATCAATAGAAACTAACCCAATGTATAAAGAAAAGTCTAGTTCAACAAGAACTTCTTTCTTCGTCGATGCATGCAAGGAAAAAGAGAAAAGGAAATAGAATTAAAACAAAGGCAATTATATGAAATTGGAATTAAAGAAGAGCTTGAACTATTTTTTCTTTTTTACAATGCCCTAAGACTTGGATAAAATACTCCTCCTTCAGTACTAATGACAGCTTCTGAGAAAACTATAGTTATAGGAATAGTCAAAATATCACAAGCCATCCTTGATAAGACCTTATACCTAATTTTTTATTCCTTCAACCGCTCAATAATATCAAAATTACAATATGTCGGCACCATTTAAAATCCACCGGCAGAATAAACACCCAATGTTTTTTTTGTCGGAACCCTTATGAAGTCTTTTGTTTATATTTCATTAGTTACCTCGTATTTGTTCATTATGTACCGTCAATGTGTACTTTAACCTCTCACTGGCCACATCTCGTATCTTTATGGTACGATCAGTTGAGCTAGTACAAAACCATGTATTACGTATTTAGTTTTATTGTGATAAGAAACAAAATAATGAAACATATTAATTGTGAGTCCGGGGACTCTCTCTCAATCTATAAGATATATGATGGAGATTCATGACTCAACTTTCTTCCATTTCAAATTTTCTGCAACGAGAGTGAAAGTAGGAAGGGTACTTTCGTCATTGCAATTGTTTATTTTTTTATTTGAAAAAAATATCAGTGTCAAGATTTGAACCCGGGTCTCTTCTAACAAGGACAAGAGTCATAACCAATAAGACTAAACAAATTTGTTGCATTTATTTATAAAAAAACATACAAGAGGCAAAATTCTGAAAATCAAATGACTTTTCCAGCACAGTTAGCTACCCCACTAAGTCTTTCTTAAGCATTTTTAGTGTTGGATCTTTGATTATCATTTATTATTATTTTATTTTGACTTCAATAATAATGGTAGTCTATCTTATAAATGGAGGATAATCTTAAAACCGCAATCCAAATATCATTTATTCGAATATTGCATATCAAATTACAATATTAAATATATATGTGCACACACAACCACATATATATGGGTCAGACTGGTGTACTCCTGGAGTATATTATACTTCAGGTACTCTTCGTGAGATATCTCTATCTAGACCATGATTTTTAACCGAGTTTGGGGTATGATACTCTACCCTAACCTCTAATGGATAAACCCCAGGCCCCAATTCTCTAAACTCAAACCCAAAGTTTAATTTAATGGAAAATTATAATTGACCATTGAGATTGATTGGAGCTCAACAAAGTACATCTAATGTCTAGATTATGTGGAGTATACCAGTATACTATACTCCTGTAGTATACCAGTATGTGTGTGTGTAGTGTTTTTTATCATATTTTGAGTAAAATCAAAAGGTAACTCATACCCTTGGTAAGAAATGGCAATCTAGACTTTGAATTAACCTGATTTCGAGACGAGACACTATATTCTAACCCTTGACGAGTGAACTCTAGGTCTTAACTATTTAAATCATAGATCCTAAACCAAGGATTATAAAACCTCATCAGAGGTTGTACCGAAAAAGTCGGCAGGAGGGTATTTTATGCGAAAACTGTGGTTAACCGTGATTCAGTCGTTTCACAACACTACATAGTGCCTACTGGTTTAGTCGAACCCCCGGTACGTTAAGGGTTTTCAATCCTTGCCCTAAACACTAAGATTATGCACATAATTTTTTTGATGTATTTTGATGAAACACGACCTTCGATTATTGTTTCTAATAAAATTGATCTTAGTATATGAGCTTCATAGAATTAAGACCTAGATTTTAATCTGTAAGGGCTTAAGGTATAGTACCATGTCCCTAGCTCCGGCCACTAGACATCATTTTCATACTCAGAGTATATCATTCAAGGTCTATATATCATTTCCTTATGTCATTTTCTTAATCAAAATATGATAGAACCACCCATACTTATAGTTGTGTTATCCTGCTGGAAAGTCATTTGTTCTAAATGTTAGTTGGTTGGACTGCAGTTTTATCAGGGTTGTATGTTGTTTGAAACATTATGAACTTCATTAGTCCAATATTTTTAGTACTCCTATATTATTTAGGGATAATATCCTATTTTGTGTTGAACTTTGATGTAAATAACAATTTTGGCATGAACATTCAAATAAGATAGTTTTGTCCGAATTTGAAAGAAATTAACAAATTTGGTCGGTTATTAATATTGAGGGTCAAACATTTCTTTTTTTTATGACTCAACATACAATGTTAAGGTGACTGTGGTGTGACTTTCACGTCATAGGTATAATATGCTATTTTGCCCTACACTTTCAAATAAGACAGTTTTGTACGAATTTTCAAAGAAATGAATAACTTTGACCCAAAATTTAGGTTGCCGTTAATATTGATGAGAGGGGTACAAAGAGAGATAGCTTCGTGCTTTGGGATTTTTGGGGGTCTGAATCAATTTCTTTTTCCTTTTAATATGATTTATGCAAGTAAATATGAAAATATTAGGATATACTAAGGGTCCTATTTTGTGGTCTTTTTTTCTTCTGAAAAATTCACTTTTTTAGACTTTATAAATAAATGACTTGGAAGCCACATCGCAACCGAAACCTCTCTATCACAACTGTCAATATTAAAGGTCAACCCAAATTTCGGACCAAATTTGTTCATTTCTTTCAAAGTGCAAACAAACCTATCTTATTTGAAAATTCGAGCCAAAATTGTCTTTTACATCAAGTTCATGCCAAAATAAGGTATCATCCCTATGACATGGAAGCCACATCGCAATCGCAACCACCTGAGCATTGTATGTTGAATGGATGAAGAAATTTTTAACTTTTAATATTAACGAACAACATAAATTTCAGTCCAAATTTGTCCATTTCTATCAAAATTTTGAAAAACTGTCTTATTTGCAAGTTCATGTCAAGTTTGGCTTTTACGACAAACTTCAAGGTCAAAATAAGGTATATCCCTATTATTTATGGTCAACTTACCAATCAAAGTAGTCAGTGAAAGTATCAGCAACACTGACAAAGACAAACATATGTAATTCAAAATTAGTTGCACTCAGCCTTAAGTTTGAAGCTCTCTTGAGAACCCGGACTATTTTCTAGGCATCTTCGGGGACTACGACTAGCATGCTTCCAAACCAGCTGATCCTTATTCTACTTTCTATGAAGAGGAATAATATGGGTGTATCTGTTAGACATTAATTAGGGTTACAAATGATCTCATTCCTAAAATCTGTTAGAGACCAATCTTTTTCTTTCCTTCTGAGGGTTCATTATGTATGTTTTAGGAAAAACAACTCTAATCTTGAACTATTTGCCATTTTTAAGTATTGAAAACCTATTATTTTGTA